ACCAGGGCGCGGGTTAAGTAATATTATTGTTTATTTATGTTAGAAAGCTTTCTACACTGATCATTAACGCGCTTTAAGATGACAGTGAGAGTTTATTCATAAGAAATAAACAATAATATTGCATAATCAATGCATTGTTAACAGTGTTTAACTTCCAAAGCAGATCCCCGGTATCCCCCGTATTCTTGTCTTCTAGCACACAATTACAAATATATACGTGCGCGTGACAGCTGCATGACAGAACTCTTAATTTGATATACTTCACAACACTATGGCTGTTTTTACGACAGAACTTTCGCAGTGGAACCTATTTGATATCTGGAAAGTACCTACCCTTTGAGGCTTTTTAATCCTAACAACTGAAGTATTTTATCTTCAAAATATTTTTAGAAGTTGCAATAGAAGTTTTTGCCCTCAAATCACTTACTTTTTACAAACAAAGCAATTTTCTGTTCTAGTGTCTCGTCTTTCTACTATGAGGGAGCAAATCAGCGTGGCAACCCGCCAGCCGGCTTCTGGTTCACCGGCCCGACGCTGCGCGCCCGCCGCCGCCCTATAGCAATGACATTGACCTCCACCATCTGCTGCGGTCCAAAGCCAAGCCAGCGTGTAATGCAGGGAGCTCGGTCAGCCGTGGTGGTGCCCGGGCGCAGTGACATTGACTTCCGCCGTCTGCTGCGGCTCCAAAGCCAAGCCAGCGTGGAATTGGAATAGCTCGGTCACCCGCAGCTGGCAGCTCAGTATATTGTCTAATTAATCATTGTACTAGCACTATATAGATTTGAGAATCTCATAAACGTACTTACGCTTTAGGTTTACGTGAGTGGTAAGCCCTTAACCCGCGCCCCGCTGGGGGGGGGGGGGCAGAATCTGCCCCCTCCCTCCCGTTTTTCGCCAATACCTTCTAAACGCGTTATGCCAGCGACGTCAAACTTTCAGTACCTTATCATACATCAATTTGACACGTTCCCTGAAAATTTGAGCGAAATCCGTCGGAAAATTTTTGAGAAATTGACGTTTTAGTGACGTCATGTTCGCCATTTTCGCCTAAAAAAAGGCAAAATTTCCATTGCCGCTAACATCTTCATTTTTAAAGGAATCAAGACGTAACAAAAAAGGTTATACGTGATTCTACTTTGTCTATCAAATGGCAATCTCGGTTTTTTTTTTTAAATATTGGATTTTGGCCAAAATTTTTTTTCAAAAAAAATGACTTTTTTGGGAAAATATTTATAAAATCCAAAACTTTGAGTTTATCGAAAAAACCGGAATATATGTCAAAGAAGTGGTCTATATGCACCTACATACCAATTTTTAGAAGAATCGGCTCAAAAATGTGGGAGTTATTCAAAATTTTATTACGTCACGACACAATTTTTTTTTTGAAAAATGATTTTTTGGAAGTTCTAGACCTCCTACGGAAACAAAAATAGCACCATTCGATTCGCCGTGAAAAACTGCATCGGATAGACACCTTTTTAGGCCTTAACAAGCAACTTCAAAATTTGACCTCACTTGACCTGACCTTGACCTGACCTCGACCTGAAATTCATCCAGATGTGGTCCATATCACTTATTGAGTGTGCCTATTGAATTCCATGAGTAAAATGACCCATAAAACATGTGTCGCACATGCCCTTTTCTATTTTGTTTTTGGTGACCTGACCTGCAGGGGCGTAACTTTTTGGTTTTCGTTGGGGGGGCAACGCTGTCGGGGGCGCCTTTTTAAGGGCATGGGGGCGCCTCCCCGTGACTGTCTAGAAATAAGTCTTATTTCAGTTTACGGCAGCATTTTTTTTTTACCATAGCACGTTGTTTTTGTGCCGTCGTGTTTTGGCACGTTATGTTGCAGTTTTTTTTTTCTGAAATAGCGCGCCAAAAGCGCGGAATTATTTTGTAACCAAATACATTTTGAAAGCACTTTGGGGACCAGAGACCGGGGGCGGGTAGTGGAATTGGGGACCAGGGTAGTGACGCCTTATTAAACAACGCATATGGTAGTTCTTCTAAAGAAACGAGACGAACTGATGAATTGACAAAAAGAAAAGAAAAAACAACTGATAAAAAGGCGAGATTAAAGAAACAAATCTGTAGAACTTCACCCCACGCAGAAGCAAGGGACGTTTTTACGCCTCCTCTTTTAAGTTAAGAACACACTTCATACTGCATCTTTTCCGCACGTGTTCTAGAAGCAAACCAGTGGCAAAAATTTGCCCTCATCGAAAAAAATAAAAAATTCCCCCCCCCCGCCCGCGGCGGGCCGGGGGGGGGGGGGAGTGAACACCTCTCCTGCGGTTTTTCGCAGATATCTCAAAACTCCGCGCCGCCGTTTTTGGCACACCTGTTCATGCATCTTTTTTTTTACACATGTGCAAATTTCAGACCCAGAGCTCTCAAGGTCAGCCGTCAGGTCACCAGGTCACGTCAAAAGACCTCACCTCAGAAAAAGTTGCAATCCTCGTCATAGCTACACCGACTGAACGATCGCCTTGAAACTTTCAGCGATTGATAAGAGTAACAGTATGTCTAAAATGTTTATCTCGGAAATTTGATATCAGTGACCTATGGTCAGGTCAATTTTGCGACCTCTCCATTATAAGTCAATGGGAGAAAATTGAAATGAGCCTTTTTTGGACGAATGGTATTTAGAACCCTCTCAAACATCGTTTCATAGGTAAACATGATACACTGAATCGGAAAAAATGCACCTGTGACCCCTCTGTGTGCCCTTGAGGTCATCTCAGGTCATAGACGGTCACGACCGCTAGCACCAGACTGCGTCAGCTGCTGACCGCCTACTCCTTCAAGCAGCACGTGACCGGCCCCACCTATCCATCGTCCGGCTCAACAATAGACCTGATCTGCACCACCCACGGCGCGGCCCGGGCCGGCACACTGAACTGTACCTACAGCCCGCACAACTGGACCCGCGCGCTCCTGCCTCTACCCAACTACAGGCCACGGGAGAGTGCAGTGACGGCGCGCTGCTGGTCGCGGTTGGACAGGGACGAAGTGAACCGGCTGTTGGCTGCGGTGGACTGGAGCCCGGTGTTCACCAGTGATAACCCAGAGGTGCAGTGGGACTACTTTTTAGCTGTGACACGACCCTTACTTGACACTGTAGCACCTATCAAGCGGCGCAAAGTGTTTAACCCGACAGCGCCTTTTACTACCAGTGACACCAGAGACCTAATGGCGAGACGACGTGCGGCTCTCCGAGCACGCGATGACAGCTACAAGTGCCTAAACCGACAGGTACGGTCGGCGATTCGGCGGGACACCCGTGAGGAGCTGGATCGGCGGCTGCGTGAGGCGGGACCGAGCGGTATGTGGCGCGTGGTCCGGCCTGTCATCGGGTCGAAACGGCCGACACGATCCACCCCCAGCGCGGACGCAGACGCGCTCAACCGCTACTTTGTGAGTGTTGGTCCCGATACGGCCCGTCAGGTGGACACGTCCGGGCCAGAGCTGCCGGTCCGCCTACCTCGGGTGGCCACCGGCCGGTTCCAGGTGGCGCCCATCTCGCCACTGAAAACAAAATTACCCATGGGTGATGAGTAAACTCATGAACCGGCGGTAATTTTAAACAACCTATTTGACTGCTCGAGGCGCCGGTAATGTAACTAGGCCTGCACCGGTCATTCCACCTCTCAATTGTGCGTTAACTCATGTCTCTTCACTCGTGTATTATGAGTTAACCGATTGTGAAAAACTCATGTACTCTTGGTAACTCATTTTGATTACTCATGATATGCGAGTATAGGCTTACTCATATTACACCGTTAATGAAGACACCACACGTTTGACTACATGAGGCGCTAGTAAATGTTACTAGCCCTGTAGCGGTCACATCACCAATGAGTTGCGGGTTAACTCTCGTTCCCTCACTCATACCACATGAGTTTACCGTTTGTGACGAATTCAAGCATTGCTAGTAACTCATGCCATGCAACGATTGATACGCGAGTTAAATGTAACTCATAACATGATGGTCAAGTGAACACACCTATTAGATCGCTCTGCCGCCGGTTTTTCCACTCTGTCGACTCATCCCCTGGCGGTCAGCCTGACCCATGAGATGAGAGTCATAACATTAAAACATAAGGTTTATTAAAACAATGCATAGCATGCAGATAAACCACGACTATTACATCCTTGATCATATGAACAAGGGTGATGAGCACAGCACGACGCTCATGCCCTTCCAGACATGAACTTGGCCTACACGCATGAAAAAGCGTTAACGCCATTTCTTTGCAAAACTACCCGGCAGAAACACAAACACAAAAAGAGACAGAAAGTCCCTAAAGTGCTGCCTCATGTCCCTCCCCGCGCACTCCTAAACGCAGCCGGTCATCGCCGCCCACTGCTTTGGGGGCGGCGACACATCGGTCTTCAGGATCACGGCACACATCAGGTAGCCGGCCAGACGGATGGCTGGGCGGTTGAACGACTGCGCAAACACTGTGAACGCGGCCCCCCACGTCAGCAGCTTGTTCACCTTTGCCGTTAGCTCCTTAAAGGGACCCTCCCACCTTCAAAAAAGTTTATGAATTGGCATGAAAGTGATGTCGCTCGGTTCAGAAAGAGCGAAAACGAATATCTACCAAATTTCACCGAAAAGTATTCACCGGTTTTCAAGATATTAGACTTTTACTTTTGTTTACTTTTTTTGGGATCTCCGCTGTTTCTAGCGACTTTATTTTAGAAGTGCGGCGTTTGCGGCAGATGTTGCGCGCAAATAGCATATACCACCGCGTGCTACAAAACGTTTTAGTCAAACATTTAAAAATCGTTAGATATTTGCGCTGACGTCACACATTCAGAGGGGTATTCCTAAGCATTAGCCCCTCTGAATCAAAATGCTGCAATTTTGAAATTCAATATTTCCGATTTAAGGCATTTCTCGATGTTGTGAGTGCCGAAACCGGTAATTGTGAGCCAGGGACCCCATTTTGGCTATCTCAACTCAAATCTAATGTTAAGGTGGGAGGGTCCCTTTAAACTGCACTGCTGGCACGCCCTCTATGGCGTGGAAGTCGTCCGCCACATGAGGCCGTGGCTGCGGCGCCGATGTGAACACAACTTGGTGCTCTTTAGCACGGTGCAGAGAAGATGGTCGATCGCATCGTCTGCGACGGAAAAATTTACCTTCAGAAATCAAGGCCACGAACTGCAAACTTTAATTTGGTACAGTATGCCTCTCGCAATTTTAACCCACGTCTTGCTGGGGGAAGGGGAGGGTGTTTGAACACCCCTTCTGTGGATTTTCGCGAATATCTAAAAAAAACGGCGGCGCTCCGTGTCACCTAAAGTCAGGTCGCCAGGTCAAGCCAAGTGACCTCACTACTTAAAAAGTTATACAGCCTACCATAGCTACACCCTAGTGACCGATTGCTTTGAAACTTGCAGCGATTGATAAGAGCAACAGTTTGTACAAAATGTATATCTTAGCATTTTGATGTCGATGGCCTAAGGTCAGGTGAATTTTGCGACCTCTCAGTTAAAGGTAAGTAAATTGGAGACAATCGAAAGGCGCCTCTTTTGGACGTAAGTCATATTGGCCGTAAGTCATATTGGCCGTTTTCGCGACGCGGGCTACCCGGCGAGTGCACCTAATTTGACCAAATCTGCACCTAATCTCTTTTACAGCAAATATCTGTATTTTATGAATTTATTTCAGTGTTTTCATCGATGATACTCTTTGATAATATGGTAAAGCAGGCATATAAGCAATTAGTGCAACCACACTTAACATGAAAATGGCACCCGTGACCCCGTTTTATGCCCCTGATGACATCTCAGGTAGGTCACGAATGGTATCTGACAGTTTTTCGCGAAGAACTTTTGATAGAGGCATAGAACGATGAAAACACCTTCGTTGTGTTCATCTCGACGAACGGATCAACTGATATGCAACCTGACCCTTATCGGTCAGGTCATGACCTTGAACTGAGGTCAAATTTTTAAGTTAACCTTTCAAGGTCACATAATAGTTTATTCAATGCGTCTTGCCGAGAGAAACACGATTCCGGTAAAATAAAGTACGTGAAAGGCTTAAGTCAAAAGTTTTTGCTGAAAAACTTTCCGAAAAATATATCTATTTTGGCATTTTTTACCCCTCCCCCGCATGCAAAACCACTGACGGCAGGTCAAATCTGAGAGAATTAATCAGAAAGAGCGTTAATGGGCTATCAAAGGCGCTTTTCTGTGGTTTTGTAGCTCTATTAGTTTCCGAGCTATGCGTTGATCTGATCAAAATTTGAATGTTGTCAAAAATTGAAAATTATCAAAATCTAACCAGGAAATCGGTGAACTTTTGCATTCAATGACCTCTGGTGACCTGACCATTGACCTGACCAAAAAAGTGACCGAAATAATTTCTTCCTTATTTTTGACGTCCTTTCGAACGCTGCCTTCGCCGTATCGCTACATGGCCCAGGAGCTAAGTTAAAAGGGGGGTTCAAACGTTTCCTCCCCCCCCCCCCCAGCAGGGCCTGGAAATCCAGGAACTCCCGCGGGGTGCGGGTTAGAAGATGCTTGTGAGCATAACATTAAAATATGTTTAGAGTAAATAGTGCTCGCATATATTATTTTGAAATTGACGATAAAAATGTGTTAATCATGCTCAATGCCTAAAGGTATTGAGTATCCACTGTAGTTTACTACAGTGGATATAACGATGAACTTCTATAGATCTCTTATAAGAAGCACGAATGAAATTTCACATTTTTCTGCTCATTTTTAAATACTTTCCGTGTAAGTGTATACGAGTATATCAAACTGTTAACAGGACGTTCATAAATACATGAGCTTTTGGTACTGTGACGGAAGCCACATTTTTCTCGAATCGCAGCTTACAGGAATTGACAGAATCATAAGGCATGCATATTGGTGTGAGACTAAAAGCCAAGCACGCAAAAGTGAATTCATCTGAGAAGAACGGCGCTTCTATTACCGACACTTTCATGGATAACGCTGGTCAACAGGGCGCAGGCGGCAGATGGCCTACCCCACCTGCAGACCCGACGTAGCGCCGACCCCTCTTATCGGTCGCACGCCAACTGGGTGGCCACGCCAAAAACGGGCTACACCTGGCACTGCAGAGGTGTAAACACTGCCGCCTCCCCGCCCGCATCTACAGGAGAAGCTCATAACGGAACTTTATCTCTCCAAAGCGCAATCGGCCGGCATCCTGTGCGCCAACCCTCTGCACCTGCGCCTGGGATATCGCCACCGGCACTGCCTCGACCTAGTGGATCGACACCGGTGTGAGCATGTCAAACAAGAAACAGCTGACGCAGGGACCCCTCGGGCCGTATCATGCCGCGAGGGCCGCAAATAGAAGGCGTCAAGCCATCAAAATTACACTCACACCGACGAAGTTATCAGCCGCCGACGGACGCTCACCAAAAAGTTCCAATCACCCCTCCCTGCGGAATCGGAGGTGCAAATATGTACGTCCAGAAGAGCAGATGTTCCATGCTGAGAGTGGGGCACGCCAATGCCCATATCTGGCATTCACCTGACGAGCAGCGACGCCGACGGTCGGGGACTTCTGATACTGGACGGCAGCTGGGACAAATGAGCGTCCAGCAAACAGAGTAATAACTGACGAATTCGCTAATATCACAAGCGTTCGGCCAAAACAGGAACAGCTGGGAAGTTCAATGACCATGGCGGACCATACATATGAACCAATACCCGAGATATCGTGATTACGACCAAACCAAGCAATAAAGCGCCGACGCCGGACAGTGTAGGGGAGAGTGGGGCAAAGCGGCCACCCTAACGTTTCTAACGATGCCGACGCTTGACTTTTAAACTTGGAAAGATTCTTTCTATACCAATGTGATCCCTATTAAATTGTCTTTTATTCCAACTGCGTTTCATTTCCAAAGGCGTTCACATATGGGAGATATTGACAAAACTTTAAACCTATAGCATATTGGCCACTTTGCCCCATCCCTGAGGCAAAGCGGCCACTGGCGACTTCTCAAGTCCCGATATGAGAAACAGAATAGTTGCCTCATGCACGACTAGGGTATTTGATGGTGACAAGGTTTAAGGGAAGATGGATGTTTACTTTGTTATCTTCCCACCTATTGCTAAACAAAGAAAGAATTTTCTTGGAAAAACACTTAATTGCATAATTTGGTAACTCATGTAACCGAAAAGTGGCCAAGATGAATGCATGACGACACATTTGAATATAAATAATGTTTTTATCCAGATGGAAACAACTTATGGCCAATTGGGGGCTGGCCACTTTGCCCCGGCCGCTTTGCCCCGCGCTACCGTCCGAGACAAAAATATTCCAACTCAGCTATTAGTGGGGTAAAAAGCATTAAAATTGGTAGAAGGCATGTACGATAACCACGCAATGCATGGACAAAAACGCTTATAAAAATTCCAAACGGTTATGGAATAAAATAACATTTAAAAATTGTAAACATAATTGGTAACCTGGCAAGAAATGCTTTTCCGTGTTTCACAGAACAATGGCGATGGGCCTGAAACCCCGGTCTGGCTCATTCGAACGACCGCAAAGAGAAGTATAATTGGAAATCATAAATTGGAACTGACGCCAGCTGTGAAGGGCTAAAACGATGGATGGCCGCTTTGCCCCGGGTGGCCGCTTTGCCCCACTCTCCCCTACCTCAGCTTCCCAGCAGAACAAAGGTGTGCACGACAGCTGGCAAGAAGATAGCAAAAGTGATAAGCACTGCACCCGGCCCAATTACAACCAGCTGGGATAAAGTCAATAACCAGGACCGATGCCACTCATGAGTCATCATACAGATAAAGATACTAGGCCTATCACGCCACACCGACGAATTATCTAGCCATGCTTATCACACCTGGAACACCAACGCGATAGTAATCTGGGTATAAAGGAACGAGACAGTCAGGGAGGAGGTACCGTGGAGTGCACAGGACACCGGAGTGCACGGAGCATCGAGTCCCACTGGGCGGAGCGCAGAGGACACGGCAGTGCACGGAGGATGCAGTACGACGGGAGGAGCGCGACGGGCAGCAGCTGACGAGGGAAGATCCAGTACGACAGTGATCGAGAGCTGGATCGAGGAAAGTGCACGCTCTCAACCATCGACAACGGACAAACTGCTATCATCGTCGATCTCTCGGTGACCGACCTTGTCAACAACGCCGTTCAAGTAAGAATTGCCACAGAAAGGAAGTCTGCTCAATCCTTGCCAACATGCAATCATTCAGCTCCCGTCCCTCATATATTCACTCCGTGATTTGCACCAACCGGCTGATGGTTCAAGGCTACCGTTCTCGGGCTGAGCGTGAAGATTAGGCATAACGACAACACCATGTGAGCTTCTTTTTTTTAAGGGGGGGGGGGAGACAAAGCGTTGATTGGGTAAATTTATTAGGTGTCTCAATAGGACTCGGGGGCTCAGTTTTTAATTGAATCGCTATTGAATCATTGCGTCAGGGCTGGTCGGAAGTGACGAATTATGTTGCGCGATGGGAAGGTTTGTTGCGCGGGTGTGAAGCCTTGGGTAACAGATAGCGCGATGTTATTTTTGTTTTGAAACGAAAATCAAGGCGAGGGTGCGTCTGGTAATCGTGAGGACTGCGCTTGAATTTGGCTTATTTACTCCGAGGTGTATGGCATGAATAAAACCCTGAAAGTTTAGCGGCATGAGTATAAAAAAGGTCAGGTGTGATGACAAGGGCGATAAGGGCGACGTTTATCTAACGGACGTGAATACCTGGCCAAATCTGAGCGAGTACAGGGAAACATCGAAATGAACCAACTCATGACAATTTGGCTCATACTCCGATCTCTCTCTCTCTCTCTCTCTCTCTCTCTCTCTCTCTCTCTCTCTCTCTCTCTCTCTCTCTCTCTCTCTCTCTCTTCTCTCTCCCTCTCTCTCTCCCTCTCTCTCTCTCTCTCTCTCTCTCTCTCTCTCTCTCTCTCTCTCTCTCTCTCTTTCTCACAAGGTTGTATTCCCTATCTTGCTCCCAATGATTGTACCATTTATCGACGCGATTAGCCTAAACCATACAACAACACAGTGAGTTAGAGATCTAGACAGTTCAACTAGCCGGAGAGAGGCTGGTTCGAGCCAGGCCCCTGTGCCTGTTTTGACTCTGCTGACGCCGTCGACCACTGCGAGATGGAAATGAGTATTCCGTGACTCGATGAATTCTACTGCGTATTCCCATGAAGTATAGCAAAGACACCGAGCGGCTAGCCGTCCGTGTCGACCGGACTTTGAAGGGCTAGGGCTAATATGTAAGAGTGTAAGAGCGATAAACGAGGGCAAGGTTGCCGAGTTAAAGTGTCGCGGAGTGGCTCCGCCGAGGTGTTCAGTAGAAACACAGAGCTATGGTTTCGCGGAGTGGCTCCGCCGAGAGTATGAACATTTAGGAACTTATCCCTCAACTGAAGCACAACCGGACCACCCACAACACCGAGTCGACAGACCGGCAGAGGTGTGTACAACCGTTGTTTCCTTTGAGTTTGGGCGAAATTGTCCGCACTGTGGCAGTGCGCACGCGAGAGATAGAGGTGGCCGATGGAAGTGTATATAGAGTTGTTATGCGGAGTGGCTCCGCCGAGAGTATTATCATTTAGGACTTTATCCCTCAACTGAAGCACAACCGGACCACCCACAACACCGAGTCGACAGACCGGCAGAGGTGCGTACAACCGTTGTTTCCTTTGAGCTTGGGCGAAATTATCCGCACTGTGGCAGTGCGCGCGAGCGAGAAAGAGGTAGTCGATGGAAATGTATGCACTGTGGCAGTGCACGCGATTGAAGAGCAGGCAGTGGCCGGGAGCGCATGAGAAACGTAGCTTCAATGGAAGAGAGTAATAACGTAAATGGGGTCAGAAGGACACCCAGTGCCAATTTGCTTAGGATTCAGGGATTTAAAGGGGTTAATACCTCCTTATACGCACATAAGTATCAAACAGGGCATAAACTTACCTCGGGATATAACTATGCCAATTCAGCGCCACTGGGGGGATTAGATGGAAACGGGAGGGTCGGTTTGTCTAGCCGAATGTTCTTCGTAGGTGTATGTATGCATGACCGAATCAATGACGCGTGTGCGACCGAAAGGGAGTAATGAATGGCTATATTAAGGACCAGTGGGAGCTAGACACTCACGCTCGAATTGCATAAATTTCTCTGATGGGATAGAGCCCTTGGCATCGAACGGATACGAAATGGGAACATGGGAAGGCCTTGCCCTGGGGTTTAAAGCCAAGCAATTCCATCAGCCGGTGACAAATCCCATCCCTTCCAAATTGAATCTATTCCTCCCCGAGCAGTGAAGGCTATATGTTGTAAGGAAATTGCAAGCCTCTCAAATAAATTTGTACTGCACGACGACGGAGCCAGTGCCATGTGGGAATCAGACGGGCATTAAAGAGGAGACGATACACCTGCCCACCCGGTGTCGTCTTCCGAGACGGACGATCACACTGCGTAACAGCCACCCGTCACTCACACGGCACATGTGCACCGCCAAGCCGCCCAGCAGCACCGTTACAGTACCTATTCGGTTACGGTTCCAACATTCCCGGGTAAAATGTTGTTAACTTACCATCTGTGAGGCATCCAGCTGCTCTTTCACCTTCGCCATTGGCCACAATCGGGGTCATGGCTTCCCGGGAGAGTTCCAACTCGTTGGTGTCCTGCAAGTCGGCATTTTTTATCCGACTCAGCTCTTTCCAGACCTGAAAACAAAGGATTAATGACGCATGCTGAAGGACGACTATACCAGTAAGACGCCATCGATATTCGCATGGCCGGCTTAAATTCTTCTACTTCTTACTGCAGCGTCTGAAAATTAACTGCCAATCCAGTTCCGTTATCGGTGGTCATGCAAATGCGATGTCACACAAGCACATCTGTTTTACAGTAACATTAGTAACTCTCGCAATCCCTACCGTGCGGCGGACATGACCCTGGGGTTATGCATGCATGGTCGGTATAAGTACAGACTTGTGCCTCAGCCAAAAATCAAGATCCAAGATCCGCAAGATCCCATGCAATGCCAGGATTTCAGAATACTGGATCTCCTTGATCTCATTGAAAAATATAATATAATTTTAGGATCCAAGATCCCCTGGATCGCACGTATAAATAACACTTTAGGATTCCGGACCCCACGCGAGAACGAAATGCCAGAGTTCAAATTTCCTGGATCCAACGTAAATGTCATGTCTGTAGACATAAAATTAAGCGGTAAGTTTGAACTTTAGGGCCAGCGAAGCAGGTTGTGCAGTCAAAGACTTCTTAAACAACCTTGTACGCCTCGCTAATGCAAAGCATTTTGAAATTTAGCAAGAAAAATGTGTTCTCAGAGACTAAATGTAGGATACAAGATTCCCAGAATCAATCCACAGAGCAAAAATGTAAGATTCAAGATCGCCGGTATTCATCGACAAAAGAAACATGTTGGATCAAGGACCAGCAGGGTCTCCAAAAAGTATTGATGAATTTATAATCAGATAGAAGAACTGCGCTCTTGGATCCTGTGGATCGAATCATCTTCGGATATTGGCCCTAGTCTGTCGGTAAGAAAGGCAAGGGAAACAAAATACACATGAGGGCGGGTGCAAAATAACTCAAGATGAGCTTCAGAAAGAAAACTGACTCTGAGAGCCGGACGCCGGTGAAGGCGCGTCTGCAGTTGCACGCACCAAACCACCTGACTCTGACTGTATAGGATCGCTAATTTACAACGCATCAGACCATGTACAATGATTCATGTTATCTATGACAATGTACATACTTTGTTTTCATCGACGACGGATGGTGGCCATCGGGATTTTCCTCTTGACGATGAGGTGTCGCCTCTCTGAGAAAGTGGCCTCCATGGCACCGTCCAGCTGAGGAGATGAGAACATCATGATAGAATCAATTCGACCATGCCTGGTATCTAGATCTCACTCTGCGCGGGGGGGGGGGGGTGCAGGGGTGGGCTTTTTGAAGAAGCACTTGGGGTGCTCATTTTTAGAAGGATTCGGCCAAATGATTCAATTACAAGTCGTTTATTACAAAAATACTAGATGAACTACGAGGAAGATGAAAAACATGATGAAAAGCTGACCTAGCCTTACCTTATAACCTACTAACTAGACCTTACAACCTAAATAGGTACCTTCAATCTACCAGCCTACATCTTACAACATACAACCTTCCACATGCCTACCACTCGAACTTCATTTGCACATATACCACCTATCCTAACCTATAGATGTTTGCACCAGGGTTTGAGCATTAGGGGCTGGCAGAAATAGATGCTATAGGCAAAGGCTTTAAGAAAATACTTGATATTTAATTATTCTGTTAGGCTTCACGCCATGGCAAAGCTGCCCGTAGAATAACAAGTTAGGTTTCACTGTAGGGGCATGTTGAGCATGACTGATATGATATTCCACATTTTGGTGGATATTATGAACCCCTCAAAAAGGCTTTCATGGTATAGACAATACATAACTAGGAGGGTTAACCAACCCACAGGACAACCCAAGGTATCAGTACATTCAGTAGTGTTGTGTGAGTGCACATGTAGGTACATTTTCAATGGAAATATGCATTTTGCACTTAAACATACCTACAGGCAATAAAATACGTAACATTTAACACTCACCAGTCGCTCCAGCAGCTCCAATTCACTGCGTCCGCCGCGTCCCGTGCTGCACTTCCGGCACAAACATGCAAGATGGCGTCATGGCGGTAATATTAACGCGTAAGGCTTGTGTAAAGCACCTCAATGATAATTCACGGTTGATCATATTTACCGTTGCATCATTGGTTTCCTTAAGCTGCGTTTGAAGAGTTAATGATTTCAAACTGGTTTTTGAACTCATTACTCACGAACAATGAGTTAGCAAGAATCCCTGTCCTCTTTTTCATGAGTTCTTAAACCCAAACGTTCAGTTTCACTAACTCACGGGTCGTGAGTGCATTCCTTACTCGCCTTACATGAGTTTGCGAGACTCAACAGGGAGTTTTGATACCAATGTTTTGTGCGTCATGAGTCAGGCAACTCATAGGGAGAAGGTCATGCATTTGGGCAATTGAGTTTTCAAAACGAGTAAACTTTTACTCTTGAGTGTTAACGCTCCACGCATGAGTTACTCATCCAAATATACTCATGAATGGCGAGTCAAATATGAATTACTCTCCCCTCATGAGTAGATTTGTTTTCAGTGGCAGACGACCTGTGCCGTGTTATCTCCCGGATGCGTAACTCTGCTGCGTGTGGCGCCGACGGACTTTGTATACGTTTTATCAAGATAGGTCTGCCATCACTTTGTCATGTTCTTACACATATAGTCAACAGTAGCCTCGTGTCACAACATGTTCCAGGCTCATGGAAACTAGCTCTCGTTCATCCGATTCAAAAGTCGTCCAAGTCCACAGACACAACTAACTACCGGCCCATCTCTATCTTACCCACAATAGCAAAGATAGTCGAACGTGTTGTCTACGAGCAACTGTTTTACTTCTTCACGGCTCATCACCTGTTCTCGTCAAATCAGCATGGTTTCAGGTCCTACCATTCGACTGACACAGCACTTTTATCTGTTACCGACCATGTGTTTACTGCCATGGACCGCAGCAAAATCACGCTTTTGTGCCTCCTCGACTGTTCGAAGTGCTTTGATGTAATACCGCATGACTCTTTGCTCCGAAAACTTGAACTCTATGGGGTAGATACACGCTGGTTCACTAGTTATCTCGACGGCCACTACCAGCAAGTTCAAATACAGGATAACTTGGGTGGAAGCGTGACGTCAGCTGTGCTTCCGAACCACATTGGTACGTATCAGGGTTCCGCGCTCGGGCCTCTGCTATTCTCGATTTACGCGAACGATTTACCTCTGTACACGGACGGCGCGCACGTGGTGCAATATGCGGACGACACTCAGGTGGCGGTCTCTGGTGGGATCGGCGACATCGGCTCCCTGGTGCAGCAAATGGAACACAACCTGGCTTTGCTCTCTCGGTGGTTCAGCAAAAAAGGCATCAAAATCAATGCACAGAAAACACAGTTTATCATTCTTGGCTCGCGTCAAAATATTCAACGTCTCGGACCAGTCAACATTAAATTCATGGATGCCGATGTCGCCGCTTCCGCCACTGTCCTCAACCTGGGTGTCACATTTGACCAGCACATGACTTTTACCCCTCATGTGGACAATGTAGTGCAGCGATGTACCGGAATGTTGTGCGGACTGAGCCACAGCAGGCACAGTCTGCCTCAGTCCACCCTGCTGACACTCATTCAGGGCCTCGTCATCTCACGCCTTTTATACTGTCTGGTGGTTTATGGTGTGTGCGGCAGCAGTCAGATGAAGCGTATTCAAAAAGTGTTAAACTTTGCCGCACGCGTTTTATCGGGACGGAGGAAATCTGCGCACATTAGCGATGTACTTTATCAACTGGACTGGCTTACTGCCGAGAACATGTACCTCTATCACGGCCTCGCCCTGCTGAAACGGATGCTGCTGTCATCGCAACCCGAATGTATTGCTGGTGGCCTGGTCACACGCAGGGACGTCCACCAGCGTATCACCCGTAACGCCGACCACCTTATCACGCCGGCGATTCGGTCCGAGTCGGGCAGGCGCCGCTTCCTGTACCATATTGTAGTCGCATACAACGATTTGCCAGCCGCGATACGATGTCGAACAGGAGCCCAGTTTAAAAAGGAGCTGCGGCTACATCTGCTAGGGAGGCAACGGAGTGGAATAGGCTAGAAATGTAGAGAATCTGGCTGGTCATTTGAGCTTGCATATCTTACCTGTGTATGACTGCAAAGCGTGCATGTATGCGTGTGTGTGATTGTGTGTGCTCGTGTGCGTGCTTGTGATGACCACAATGATCATTCGTTTAATCATATTGACAACGGGGCACGGAATAGCCACATAACTGTGTGGAAGTGCTTCATGATGTGTAATACAATACCACCAGTTTTTTGGCTGTAACTTTTGATAAAGGCGTGCTAGAGCGATGAAAACACTTCAGATGTATTCAGCTCGACGATACGGATCGACTGATATGCAACATGACCCTTTTCGGTCAGGTTATGACCTTGACCTGAGGTCAAATTTTTAAAATGACCTTTCAAGGTCAAAAAATAGTTCATTCGACGCGTCTCGACGAGAGGAACATGATGCTGCCAAAAGTAATGTCGTGGCACTCTTAAGTCAAAAGTTATTGCCGAAAAACAGTTTTCGTGAAAACTGCTATTTTACAGTTTTTGCCCTTTGGAGGCTAAACCGTTGACCTTAGGTCAAATCTGAGAACAATGGTCAGAAAGGTCTGTAAAAGGGCTATCGAATGCGCTTTTCCGCGGCGCTGTAGCTCTACTGGTCCCGAGTTAGCCGTTGCAGTTTCCAAAATTGTTGAAATGGCCTACATTTGACCTTCGATGACCTCAGGCGACCTGACCTTTGACCTGACCCAAAAAATGACCGAAGTGTTTCCGTCATTATTTTTGACGCTCTTTCGAATGATGCTTACTGCGTGTCGCTACGTGGCCCAGGAGCCGAGTTAGACCAGACACCCCCCTCACCGCCCGGCGCGGAAGTCGCGGAGCACCAGCCCGGCGCGGGTTAATCCCAGGCTGAGAGCGTTCAAGCTTAGGTCACCCATATACCTCTGTATACCGAGACATGCAGAAGTCTGTGGCTCACCAGGTGATATCAAGTTATCACGAATTGATGGGTACAAATTACTCCTGCTTTGATCTAGAGGTGGCAAAACGTGAAAATTTTGGGAACCAGACTCGAACCAGACCCGGCTGGACATTTCTGGAACCAGTCGGACCCGGTCTAAGTTGGAATCGGAACCAGTTGGACCCATTCCCCAAAAGTCAATTACCTAATACAAACCGTTTGTAGAAATCATTAATTGCATCGTGTAAAACAGCCCTTTTCCCACTGATAATACTTATGAACTACAGTGTGCAAAGGAACATACATGAGCAAATGTTTTCTTTCCATTCACTTCATATTTTGCAATCATATGTAGTGTCCACTATGTATGGTTTATGGTAGGACCCGGTTGGACCCGCCAGAAAATTTCCAGGAACCGGTCCGGACCCATAGGGGAAGCCGGGGGAAGCCCGGCATAGTAAGCTCTTTTTCATTTTTATTACATACCATACGTGCTGTATAAAATGTTGATATCCTGCTAGCTAGCTAAGTTCATTGGCCGTGTTTTCCCAAAAATTCGGTTTCGTGGAATAAGTATAAGGTTGAGAAAATCGAGTTTTAAAAAAGTGTTGATTTTTCTGGGGTAAGCCCGGCATAGGGGTAACGCCGGCCACCTCCTCAGCGCTTTACAACGAGTTGATGAAACCAATATGTGTCTTCCAAATATTAACGGAAAGTGAAATATTAAGGTACTGATTAGCTCTGGACATCTTAGAGTTTATGTCACTACTGGTATTTTAGCTAGCGTCTACTACATATACAGTACAGGGTCGATGAAAATCGTGATGCAAAATTGACAAAAAATGTGTATTTCAAAATTCCTTAAAATTTATTTTTCTTTTTACCTTAATGCATCATAGTGCATATCATTCGACTCGGCTGATGAAGAAGAACACAACGACACCATTTTTGAAGCTCTAGCTTCATTGTCTGTCGCGTTATCTGCAAAAACGTAGTTTGACCCTAGTTGACCTTAAGTGACATGACTGGCTTTGTCTATGATAACATGTTTATTTTCGAAATTTATCTTTGATCTAGGTGTAAACCAAACCTGCTCAGTACCTATTATCTCATGGAAAACAGTGGTTTAGTGGCATTGCTCTCGGTTGGGGGTAAGCTTGGCCACTCGCCCGGGGTTACCCCAATGTGCTAATTTTTATTTTAGAACAGCGATATTCGAAAAAATGTCATACTTAAGCCAGCCTGCCTCGTCACCCCTCACTACAAACACTTAAACGGTCCTTACATAACATTCGTATAAATATTAGTACTGTATGGTATAACATTAACAGTGCAAGATATCTCACTTTTTAGCTAAAAACCCTTAAAATATCATTTTTGCGCTATAACTTTAACAATATGCAATTTTTGTAAGCCTTAACTTTTTTGCTGGCGTTACCTTAGCTGCCACGCTGAAAGGACAAACAGTTGAGCATTTTATTGTGAATAATTTAGCCGGAAACGGGGTGGCCGGGCTTCCCCCGCGCCCGGGCTTCCCCCGGCTTCCCCTATGGGTCCAGACCGGTTCTTTTGACCGGGTCCTCGGGTCCACATTTTGCCACCCTTTGAACAAAAAAGATGATGTAGGATAGGTACCAGTATATTATTATTATTATTATTATTATGTCAAACATCCACCAACCACAGAACAGTGGGCATTACGGTGGCATAGCACAAACAGACGCACACATGCATACAATTTCACACATATTCATATATGAACACTTAATCGACTAACACAATATTCGGCGCAGTGTGAAGCAATCCATACGCGAAAATATAAATAACCATGTGTCCCATGTATGACAATTAAACTGTGTGCTCCTTTGTTTGAAGATATTTAATCAATTCCTTTTTAGATGCACTTTTTATCTGTGTCGGCAAACTGTTCCACAATTTTGAACCCTGGTATGATAAGGAGCGTTTTAAGAAGTCAGTTTTAGGAGCAATAAGATCAAGGTTACAAGCCTGTCTCGTATTACGTTCCGATTTCCTGGTCCTAAAGAGGGATGAAAGTAACGGCGACATGGTTTCTGGATAGAGTAGGCACTGGCGAACAACGGTGAGGACAGCAATGTTGCATTCCAACTCGAGGTCACCGCGCCATGCAATATTTTGATGTTCTCTACCTGCGATGCGCCAGATATAGTCAGACATATAGTCAGAGGAGCGCTAACATTGGCTCGATGGGTGCTATGAACCGTTGGGACGCTACGCCAAGCAAGAGTGGCGCTTTAACAGCAGGGATACCATAACACACAAGGCCCTGTGGGACGATTACATTGACTCAAGGGGCGCCCTTTAGAATCGGTGCGACACCGTGCAGAGGGCGCCATTCTTAACCACATCAATTTTAATACTCACTGCAGATGGCCTCCAAACTGTCTCGAGGGGTGCCTTCAGGAACCGATGGAACAGCCACCGAAATAGGGGCGCCGCTCTAGCTGCAGTGATGAAATAAGGTATTGACCGCATTGACCAGAGGAGCGCTTCATGTGGCTAAAGGGGCGCGTTGGTAAACTGGTGGGGCGCCATCCCATGCCCAGCGAGGGGCGTCGTACTTAGCAAGGAAATTATGTAAGTCAGAGGAGCGCGAACTTCGGCTCGAGGGGCGCTTGTATGAACCGTTGAGGCGCTAACCTAGCTAAGTGTGCCGTTTTAGCAGCAGGGATGCCATAACACACTATAGCGTGCTATGGTATCTAGGCCCTCTAGCCTCCCCCCCCCCTCCCCGAGGAGCGATGATTATGACTCAAGGAGCGCCCTTAAGAATTGGTAGGCCACATACATTTCATTACTCAGTGCAGAGGGGCGCCAAAACGGGCACGAGGGGCGCCTTCAGGAGCCAATGGGGCAGTCTACGGACTGGGGGCGCTGTTCTAGCAACAATGATGATAAGGTATTGGCCAGAGGGGCGCTTCGTCCACCTGAAGGGTCACATTGATAAACGGATGGGGCGCCGCTCTGCATGCGGGGGCATGAGTTATTAGCAAAACAGATGACATAAGACGTGCGTGTTGTCAGAGGGGCACCACTTTGGCTCGAGGGGCGCTTTTTAACCAATGGGGCACGCTATTTAGCTAAGTTTTTACTTGCCGCAAGCGGCGCACCATCCCTGAGGAACGTTACACAAACGACTGACGACTCTCTCGACATGGGCATCAGAGGTGCCCCTATAGACCTCACAGGCGTCTCTAATTCCCATTGAGGCGCCCCTTTGGGCTTCAACTGGAGCTCCTCTTTCTATGGGCCTCGGAGGCGCCCCCATTTGGCATGCAGTCTCCCCTCTTTCGTATTGGGGCGCCATTATGGCCTTAATGGGCGCCCCTTTTTCATGTGGGCGCCCCCTATACTATAGACCTCAGAGGCACCCCGAAGGGCCTCAGAGGCCAATAAGGTGCCCCTCTTTCGCATGCAGGCGCCCCTGTGGCCATCTCAGGCGCCCGTGTTTTGCATTGAGGCGCCCCTGAGGACTTCATTGGCGCCCCTCTTTCGCATGCAGGCGCCCCCACGGCCTCAGAGGTTCCCCTCTCACGCATCCCATTTCCATATAGGCGATGGCGCCCCCTTGAAAGATGGCGCACGCGCTCCTATGACGCCGCTGGCCCGTGAGGGCGCCTTTCGGGCCTGGGGGCGCCCACCAAGGTTGGGGGGGCAAACGGAATGTTGGGGTGGCAAAATTTCAAGTTGGGGGGGCACCTGCCTCCCCAAAAGTATACAAAGTTACGCCCCTGCTGACCTGACCTGACCTGACCTGACCTTGACCTTGACCTTTGAATGACATTGTGTGCAACGAATATTGTCTTGGTAGTCTAAGAACACGTTTTGGGCAATCAGTCTCAGTCCATTCTTCGGCAACTACGGTGCAAGGCCGATACTGTAGAAACTTGCATTTTGTACCCTTGACCTGACCTTGACCTGACCTC